ATCAGAAGAGAGTCTACAGCTGCCCTCAGTGCAGACAGACCTTCAGTCCAAGACCTGCTTTAGCTAGAAACACCATGCTGGCTGAAGTGGTGGAGAAACTGAAGACCGAACTAAAAGCTGCTGTTCCTGCTCCACCTGGAGACGTGGAGTGTGACATCTGTACTGGGAGAAAACACAAAGCCGTCAAGTCCTGTCTGGTGTGTCTGGAGTCTTACTGTCAAACTCACTTTGAGCTTCATCAGAAGTTTCGCTCAGGAAAGAGACACAAAGTGACTGATGCCACTGGACGACTGCAGCAGATGATCTGCCATCAACATGAGAAGCTTCTGGAGGTTTTCTGTCGTACTGACCAGCAATGTGTTCGTGTACTTTGTATGACAGATGAACATAAAAACCATGAGACTGTATCAACTGCAGCAGAGAGGACAGAGAAAGAGGTATGAACTGAAATTAGACACATTGATGTTTTAATGCTGGCTCTTCAAGTGTTCCTGCTCACTGCAGTATCCAGCTGTATCATGAGTGCATCATGTGATCTTCAGTCCCACTGGGAGTTACTACATGACGGCTCTGTGCATTTCAGCACAAGATGAACTTTGCTCACCTTTGTCACATCGCTCAAGTCCCCGACTCTAACTAAACACGAGTTTCTTTTTTGCTGCAAATTGCATTCAGTTTGAATGTCCATTTCTGCTTTACATTAATTCATCATTGTAGAATAATGATGATGACAGTAATAATTATACATGCCCTGCTTTAGGAAAAGTAGAACATTTTAAATGATCATTTATGTATTTGTCTCAGGTTGACTTTTTTTAATTTATCCTAAAGAAACACTTGAAGGAGACACAGGGAAAACTCCAGCAGAGAATCCAGCAGAGACAGAAAGATCTCGAGCAGCTGAGACAGGCTGTGGAGTCTCATAAGGTGAGTTTGGAGAAGAAGAGAAGTTTGAGACTCAGGTTGGACTCCTCTTTCAGTCCCGCTGAAGCCGCTGTGGCTCTCAGGCTGTGAGGAAGCAGTAAGAGCTGATTGTGATGTGTGTCTAACAGCGCTCTGCACAGACAGCAGTGGAGGACAGTGAGAGGATCTTTACTGAGCTCATCCGCTCCATTGAGAGAAGCCGCTCTGAGGTGACGCAGCGGATCAGAGATCAGGAAAAGACTGCAGTGAGTCGAGCTGAAGGACAAATGGAGCGACTGGAGCAAGAGATTGAAGATCTGAGGAAGAGAAACTCTGTGCTGGAGCAGCTCTCACTCACAGACGATCACATACATTTCCTGCAGGTAAAGGAGTTCTAGAGAGAAAAAACACATGGATTTTTAGCAAGATCTGCTGTTAAAGTCTGTTAAAGTCTTTAATTATCAGTGATTATTTGAGCCACACTGTTTGATTGAGGATACAATAAGCATCATTCTGCGGACAGAAATGCGGTCTGGTTTCACTCAGTTACACTGCAGTAATGAGGTCACCTAATGAAACATGCTAATAATAGATACTATTATCCATTATGATTGTGCATTTTAATTTGCCAAATTTTGAATCACTAAAATCATAGTTTTGACTAGATAAAAAAGTTAGTCAAGACAAACTTTAGGTTGGCTTGAGAAAGCCTAGCCTGAAAGTTTAAAGCAGTTGTAAAAGCCTGAAGTTTGAAAATGTAGATAGATTAGATCTAACTAATCTATCTTTAGTTTCTAGCATAATTAGCATGTTTAACATGATTAACCTGTTACTAACATATTGCTGGCATGATTAGCAATTTACTAGCATGTCGCTAGCATGTTTCGAGCATGATTAGCATGTTACTAGCATGTTGCTAGCAAGATAAGCAAATGATAAGCATGTTGCTAGCATGACTAGCAGGTAACTAGCATGTTGTTAGCATGATTAGCAAGTTACTAGCATGTTGCTAGCATGTTTCTAGCATGATTAGCATGTTTTAACATGATTAGCCTGTTACTAGCATATTGCTGGCATAATTAACAATTTACTAGCATGTCGCTAGCATGTTTCTAGCACGATTAACATGTTTCTAGCATGATTAGCAATTTACTAGCATGTCACTAGCATGGTTAGCATGTTGCTAGCATGTTTCTAGCATGATTAGCAAGTTACTAGCATTTTGTTTGCATGATTAGTAACTAACATGTTTGCTAGCATTCTTATCATGTTACTAGCATGTTGTTAACATTTTTATAGCATGATTAGCATTTTACTAGCATGTTTCTAGCATGATTAGCATATTGCTAGCATGATTAGCATGTTTCTAGCATGATTAGCAAGTTACTAGCATGTTGATAGCATGATTAGCAAATGACTAGCATTATTAGCATGTTGCTATCATGATTAGCAAGTGACTAGCATGTTTGTAGCATGATTAACATGTCGCTAGGATAAATAGATAGATAGATAGATAGATACTAGCATAGTAACTAGCATGTTGGCTAACATAATTAGAATGTTACTAGCATGTTGCTAGCATGTTTTGCTAGCATGTTTCTAGCATGATTAGCCAACATTTTGCATTTTGTTAACGTGATTAGCAAGTTACTAGCATGTTTCTAACATGATTAACATGCTACTTGTTAACATTGCATTATTAGCAAGTTATTAACATGTTGCTAACATGATTCTAGCATGTTTAGCATGTTACTAGCATGGTGTTAACATTTTGTTAACGTGATTAGCAAGTTACTAGCATGTTTCTAGCATGATTAGCATGCTACTAGCATGTTGTTAACATAATTATCAATTTACTAGCATGTTGCTAACATGATTCTAGCATGATTAGCATGTTACTAGCATGGTGTTAACATTTTGTTAACGTGATTAGCAAGTTACTAGCATGTTTCTAGCATGATTACCATGTTACTAACATGTTGTTAACATGATTAGCAAGTTACTAGCATGTTGTTAACATAATGAGCAAGTTACTAACATGTTGCTAGCATGCTTCTAGCATGATTAGCATGTTACTAGCATGGTGTTAGCATATTGTTAGCATGATTAGCAAAGTTATTAGCATGTTTCTAACATGATTAGCATTTTGTTTGCATGATTAGCATGTTACTAGCATGGTGATAGCATTTTGTTGGCATGATTAGCAAGTTACTAGCATGTTTCTAGCATGATTACCATGTTACTAACATGTTGTTAACATGATTAGCAAGTTACTAGCATGTTGTTAACATAATGAGCAAGTTACTAACATGTTGCTAGCATGCTTCTAGCATGATTAGCATGTTACTAGCATGATTCTAGCATGATTAATATATTACTAGCATGATGTTAAGCATGTTTAACAAGTTGTTAGCATGTTTCTAGCATGATTAGCAAGTTACTAGCATTTTGTTAGCTTGGTTACCAAGTCATTAGCATGTTGTTAACATGATTAGCAAGTTAATAGCATGTTGTTAGCATGTTTAGCATGTTACAAGCATGTTGTTAGCGTGATTAGCAAGTTACTAGCATTTTGTTAACATGTTTCTAGTATGATGTCTCAAGAAGAAGAAGAAGAAGAAGAAGAAGAAGAAGAAGTTTAAATAGGATTTCAGTAAGTTGGCTTTTTCAAGCCAACATAATTACATTTTAAAATCTATTCAAATAGACTACAGTTATTTGAAATTATAATAATAATATCCGGAACATTTCCAAAAATCCCTGGAATATTCCAAAAAATATCTGGAATATTTCCGAAATGTTCCACCTTTTTGCAACCCTAATTGTTGATCAAATAAATTAAGCTTTGGTGAGTAAAGTTGATAAAGTTGTGTATTTCATTAAATATTCAGGAAAAAAATGCATGTACAAATGTATTATATTACAGTAATGGTATAAGTAATATCATTGTACTGCCAAAAGCGTTTTTCCATATTTGTGTGACATTATACAGTGAAATCTTGTTTCCGGGCTTTTCTTGCCCTTTCCAAGAAGAAATTATCATAAGTTATCTATTATCATGAGTTAAATTGAAAGCAGCATGAGCAAAAACACACTTAGAAACACACTCTCTCACACACTCTTGACCTGCAGTTGTATGAATATTAAGTCCATCCACTGTAAATTGCTAGATGAATTATTAATTTGTTTCAAACAAGATTTAAAGCTTAATTAACTCCTGCTGAGTCTGACGAGACAGAAAAGAAATGAGACTTTTCTAACAGCACAGTTTGACCTCACTAGAGACAGCCGGACAGAAGCGAGGGGGCGTTCGCTGAAGACACTGTAAAACCTTACTGTATTAAAGTGCTGTCAGAGACCTGCAATTATACACAAATCCACAGCGAGAGACACAGTCATGTAAACACAACCTCTGAACGCCTCTCAAACACAGCCCAGTGAGCTGCCTATCTAGACTGCATTATAAAGGGCCATTCACATTGGACACAGTTGTATTTGTCTGCACTTGTTTTAATTAGTTTCGATGAAAAGCTGAAAATTCAGTTTTGTATCAAGGGAATAAAATACATTTTAAAACATATTTATACAGAAAACAGTTATTTTAAATTGTGATAATATTTCACAATTATACTTTTTTATTGTACTTTTGATTTCAAATAAACGCATCCTTAGTGAGCAGAAAGGACTTCTTTTAACAACATTGAAAAACTGTAATTATCACAGATTTTTGACCGGTAGTGTAGGTGAGCAAAAGAACTTGAAGGCACTGTCTCTTCTCATTCTGATTTAGGCCTACTTTTCTTTTATCATTCTCATTTTTATGCTGTTTTTACCTTGTTTACTCTGTTCTGTTCTGCACCTCAAACTCGCCTCACCTATATATATAGTCTTTGTCTGTCTCTCTGTCTCTGTCTGGTTTGGTGCTGCTTTCAGCTGTCCTGAGGTGATAAGTGTGAGATACAGTGAGCAAGAATGGAGTGAATGAAGGAAGTGCTGGAATTCAGAGTGAATTTCAGAAACTCCTGTTCGTTCTGTTTTCTGCATGTTTACAAGGTTTGTGAATGTGGCCAAATGACGGAGAGAAATGCATGTTTCAGCTTTATCATATTGTGTGTGTGTGTGTGTGTGTGTGTGTGTGTTTCATCATGACTATCACAGGGTCACAGGTTCAAATCACCTCAAACCTCCCTATACAGAATATATATATATATATATATATATAATATATACATATATATAAAATATATATATATATATATATATATATATATATATATATACACACACACACACACAGTGGTGTGAAAACGTTTTTGCCCCTTCCTGTTTTTTTATTTTTTGCATATTTGTCACACTTGAATGATTCAGATCAATCAAATTTTAATATTACACAAAGATAACTGTAACAATAAATAAAAAATGCTGTTTTGAAATAATGGTTTCATTTATTAAGGGAAAAAAGCTGTCCAAACCTGCCTGGCCCTACATGAAATAGTAATTGCCCCCTAAATCTAAATGCCACATTGGAGGGTTTTTGAGCATGAATGGACTGTTTAAGGTCATGACACAGCATCTCAGTTGGATTTAAGTCCGGACTTTGACTTGGCCACTCCAAAACCTTAATTTAGTTTTTCTATTCAGAGAAAAACTAAATTAAAACTGAATTTGCCATTCAGAGGTGGACTTGCTGGTGTGTTTTGGATCATTGTCCTGCTGCATAACCCAAGTGCGCTTGAGCTGCTGACGGCCGGACGTTCTCCTTCAGGATTTTGTCCAGGTCCTGAAGCTGCAAAGCAGCCCCAGATCATCACACTACCACCACCATGTTTGACTGTTGGTATGATGTTCTTTTTATGAAATGCTGTGTTGGTTTTACGCCAGATGTAACGGGACACACACCTTCCAAAAAGTTCAACATATGTCGCATCAGTCCACAAAATATATTTGCCCAAAAGTCTTGGTGATAATCAAGATATTTTTTGACAAATGTGAGACGAGCCTTTGTGTTCTTTTTTGGTCAGCAGTGGCTTTTGCCTTGGAACTCTCCCATGGATGCCGTTTTTGCCCAGTCTCTTTCTTATTGTTGAATCATGAACACTGACCTTAATTGAGGCAAGTGAGGCCTCCGGGTTCTTTTATGACCTCCTGGATGAGTCGTCGTTGCGCTCTTGCAGTAATTTCGTAGGCCTGCCACTCCTGGGAAGGTTAATGGGTGGATAATGGCTCTGACCATGGTTCGCTGGAGTCCCAAAGCCTTAGAAATGGCTTTATAACCCTTTCCAGACTGATAGATGTCAACTATTTTGTTTCTCATCTGTTCCTGAATTTCTTTAGATCACAGCATGATGTGTTGCTATTTAAGCATGCTTAACTTTGTCAGACAGGTTCTATTTAAGTG